CTCTCAGGGTAACCGTGTATTTGTATGTGTGTACATTCCTACAAAGCACCCACACTTCACCCCCTCCCCCGCAGTCTGGCCACCCTGGGCCATGTTTACTTTGCCCCCAGCCTAAGTCTGCCCTGCCCTGGGAGGGGCTGACCCTCTTGTCTGTCCAGTTAGCCGTCCACAGGATGTTCCCGAGACGCTGTTTCCGGCCACTCGCAGGTCAGGACCCAGGCGTCCAAGGCGGCGAGGGGGTGGGGCTGTACCGTTGGGGGGGTCCATGTCAGGGCATGAGAATGAGGGTGGGGGGCGGGGAAGGGACTAGCCCAACAGGTTCCGCCTCATTCCTGCCCCGCCTCTCACTTCCTGGGTGCCAGCCCCGGGCAGGGGTGGACGGAATGAACCCTATGGCCTCAGAGAGCGTGGGTGGGGCACGGAGTAGGTGTTTTCTGCTGGGCACCTGGACACCCAGGTCTGAGACACCCCTCCCTACCTCTGTGTCCAGCTCCGAATTCGGAGCGTCCCATCTATTATTCATCTAACCAGCACAACAACTCAACGAGCTGGACATAATTTTCAAGTGAGGGAAGAGACAGGATCTGAAGCGAACCGAGCTCTGTGCGCAGCTGAGGCTTCACAAGACCCACAGCCAGCTAAGCAGCCACGTTCCCCCTCTAAGCTGGGTGTCTGTGGGGTGTAGTAGGAGGTCCAGTCCCCGTGAGGCCATACTTTCAAGGGGGTACCCGCTTGCTGTGAGTCAAAAAAAAGCCCCTGGATGAAATGAATAAGAAAACGATTTTAACCGTTTCACTGCCACGATAGGCTCTGCCAAAACTTCCTGTGGGCTGGTGGGCGGTCACTGGGTTCCCGGAGCCAGGCCGGGTCAAGGGGGGAAGGGTGGGGAATCTGTTAATTCAGGGATGGGAGAGCGCCCCCAATGACTTTAGCAATGGCCAACGAAAGGGGACGCCTGGCCAGCCCCCTGTCTCCTGGAGGTTGACCACTCACACGAGGTCCTCAGAACTTGATTCCTAGTCCTTGATGCCCGGAGGGGGGGTCCCAAGGTCCCCTCCCCAGGGTCCTGAGTCATATACAGGGAAAGCCGCGAGGCATGAGTCACCCAGGCAGAGCAGGAGGAGTGAGGCCGAGTGCGGTCTGGGGACCCCAGGGCTGGCCTGAGTCACGCACGCCTTGGCCCTACTGACCCCCAGCCCCGCGGTGCAGAGATCAGGAGTGGGAAGCACATGGTCGGCAGGAGGAAGGGCAGAGCGGGAGGAAGCAAGTGCCGGCTGATCCAGGAAGCTGTTTCCATGGCAACCGGGGGGGTGGTCTCAGCTCACTGGTGGAAGGTCTTCCCAGCAGGGGCTGCCCCGCCCAGCATGCTGGGGAAGCCCCCGTTCGTTTGGCCTTGGGGCCCGGAGTTTCAGGTCTGGCAGGAAGGGGTTAACGGCAGTCCCCCTGCGAGTTTCACCTGCGCTCCGAAGTCTCTCATTGTGCCGCACTGGTCCCCGCGCGCTCCCGCGGCTGCCCCCGCGTGCTCACGCACAGCCACCCCACCCCCGGCCTGCACTCGCACGCACGACCGCGTCGGGCTCCACGCACGCAGCGAACTCCTTCGTGTCTCACGTCACGAACGACGCACGCGCCCCCGCAGTGCGGGGTGGAGTCCTCCCAGAGGAGAGCCGCGGACAGCCACAGTAGTGCGCATGTCGATCCCTCCACTGAGTAGGCTGTCTGGTGTACACCCCCGTCCACACACGAGGTCGCAAACAATTCTGACCCACAGCATCACACGGACACAGGATACACCTGCCGCAGGCCAGCAGAAACCCTGCCCGGCTAGCTCTGAGAACACGGACAGGGTCACATGGTCAGGGCGGAGTGGCGCAGCACTTCGGCCACATAGGGTGTGTGTAGATACATAAACATAGCCTCATGCACACACAGGTTTTTACATAATGCCACACCGGTGAGGCGAAGTAGAGCAGCCTTTGTCACCTGGATTTGGACTGTCCCACAAGTGCCCCTCAAGTGGAAATTGTGGCTGAGACACAAGGTAGAGACAGCCATGTTGAGTTGTCACAGGGCAACACACAGATATTTTGATTGTTATAGGGGTATAATAAGCCAAGGCCTTTGATAAGGATCATTATCACAGAAAAACAAAGACTGGAAACAAATGCCTAATAAAAGAATCCTTTTTCTCTACTCAGAAACACAGATTCTACTAAACTGTAAAACAACATCAAAGCAGTAGGGTATGATTACAGACATAGATCCCAATGCCAACCCGAGGCACTGGCTGTCACACATTTCTCACAGAAAGCAATACAATGACCCAAAAGGATCATACTGAGAAACCTGTAGATGGCACAGACACGGGAAGACAGAATGAGAACAGAACAGCCTCATAGATTCTGCTGGACTATGCAGAGAAACACAAGGTGGGTGAACGAGGCTCCCTGGTACTCCTGCACCCAGATTTTTGTTTGTCACTGTGTAACCCTGGCTGGCCTGAGTCTTGTTATGTAGACCAGTCTTGCCTTGATCACAGAGATCTACCTACATTTTGACTCCCTAGTGCTGGGATTAAAGGTGTGCATCACCAAAGCTGGTATTTTTGGCTTGTTTTTGTGACAGCATCTTACTGTTGACGAGGCTCACCTTGAACTCAGAGAGAGCCAACATGCTTCCTTCTGAATGCTGGGATTAAGAGCAAACACCACGATGCCCTGTTAGAGACAGTGTCTGAGGCAGTTCAGACTCACCTCCAACTTGCCTTAAATTCTGGTCCTTTTGTCTTCCCTTCCCAGGTGTGTTCCCACCAAGCCCAGCTTTTTTTCAAGATTCTTTTTTTAGATTCCTTTTTTATTGTATGAATGTTGGCCTACATGCACGTATGTGCACCATCATATATGTGCCTGGTGCACATGTATGTCAAAACTCCTAGTACAGAAGTTATGGGTGGCTGTGAGTCAGCATGTGGATGCTGGGAACCAAACTGTATCCTCTGCAAGAGCAAAAAGTGCTCTTATCAGCTGAGCCATCTCTGCAGCCCATACACCCATCTTCTAAACTTGTTTGTTATGCAGATTAATGCCTTGAACTTCCTGACAGCCATCAAATCACATACATACTCAGTTATTCAAACTCCAGGATCCCAAGACACAAGTGGAGGCTAACCCAATCATAGATCCCCCACCTCACACCTACACAGAGGTAAGCACATTTCCCTTGGACTTAGATACAAAAAGTGGTGGGGCAGGAGCATGATAGGAGTGCCAGCAGAACTCCAGGGACTGGGTGCAGAGAGACTGTCAGGGTCCCCATGGTAGTTGTGCACAGAAGGATTGCGCATGAGTGAGTGGGTGCTGTCTTCTGGCTGTGGAACTCCGGGTCCCTATCCCAGCTGTGGTGACTGGATCAATGTCCAGATGTGCAGGCTGAAGGGGATGGGCTGGGGTCCAGCTGTGGCCTTTAGGGAGGGGTTGAGTCACTCACTTCCCAGCAGTACAGCCCAGGCTAGGTCCAGCTGTTACTGGAAATGAGGAGGAAGAAGAGGGGGGTCCCCAAACAGCTAGAGGTTCCTGATGCAAACTTGCAGGGCCTCTGGGTTCCTATAAATGGAGCCCTTCAGCTGTCTGCAAACTTTGAGTTTCCCTACACCTACAATGGCTTGTCATCCTAAATATGAGGGCAGTCCTAAAGGAAGAATTTATGGCTCCTTTTGCAGAATTAAAGGCACTTGTATCCATGGCATAGCTCCTTGGTCATGAAAAACAGATTGCTGTTCCCAAAATAATAGCTTTCTTTTCTTCCCCCTTAAATGTTGGGTCTCCTTGTTGATCCTAAAGTTACAGATCCTTCCCCAATGCAGAGTACCTTCATTTATGTATGTATGTATATATGTATTTTGAGATAGGATCTCTCTATGCAGTCCTTACTATCATGGAACTCACTCTGTAGACCAAGCTGGCCTCAAACTCACAGCAATCCACCTGACTCTGCCTCCGGAGTGCTGGGATTAAAGTTGTAGGCCACCATCACACTCAACAACTAACCTTCATTTAATTTTTTTTTTTTTTTTTTTTTGAGGCAGGGTTTCTCTGTGTAGCTCTGAATGTCCTGGAACTTCTCTCTGTAGACCAGGCTGACCTCAAACTCAGAGAGCCACATGCCTCTGCGTCCAGGCTTCATTTAAATCTTGTCTTCTTGAACATCTGGGATTCCTGTAACATCACACCAACATTGGAACAACCTAAGTCACACCCCCTATACCTGGATTCCTAAAATTCTCCAGAACTTCAAAATCCCTGTAACTCCTCACCCCCAATCTTTGTGTCCCAGAATGTCAGCCACACATTCTTGTAGAAATCATGGCTACCAGGTGTGTGTAGGACAGCAGGCCTGGAAGCACAGTCCTCTCTGACCCCATCCACAGGGGACTAGAATCTGGAAAACAAGGTGTGAAGGGGTTGTGGAAGTGTGAATCAGCCTCCAAGGCTCTCTGGTGTGTGTAGTTGAGAGTTTGAGTGGGTTGTAACCAGAGTATCCGTGGTGGGGCAGGTGGCTGATGTCAGAGACACACGCCCCCCCACAGGTCTCTGGATCTGGCCCCAGTGAGTTGATGGAAGTTGAACATTACCCCCTGCGACCTGGAACCGCCCCAAAGCAGAGCCGGCTCGGCTCCGCTCCTCCCTCTGGGTACATTTAATAGCCTCTAATTACAGCACCTTACCCCACCCGCATGCGGGGGAGGGGCTTCCAGTGGACCCAGGGGTCAAAGGGCAAGGTCTGGGGCTTTACCCCTGGCATCAAAGCCGGTGTACTTTGTACTGTTCATCTGCAAAACGGCGGGTTTGCAATTTTTTTTTTAAATAATAAAATTTCTAATATTAAGAAAACAAAGCCGGGGAATTAAAGCAGCACTTTACCCCTAGGGTCGTGGAGGGCATTCCATTGTCTGTGGATATATAGATTAATGTAATGACTGCGAACAGCAAGCACTCCACAAATGATGTCTTAAGACTTTATTGTTAAAAATCGGTAAGTCTTTCTTTTGTGCCCTCAGTGATCACCTAAGCTTGCTCAACCGGTGGACGCACCCTTTTCCCAGAAGGATGCGTTCCTGCCGTCTGTTTGCCCCCTGGTGGGCTTCAAGTGACCCGCAGCTTTGGCCTAGCCAAGATTTTAAAGCAGGAAGATGCTCAAAGCACCGGGGGCTGTGAAGGAGCAGCTGCGCTCAGAGAGGGCGACTCCCGGCTGGACAAGCGCGTAGTCTTTTATTCAGGCTATCTGCCTCCTTGACCATTCCTGCTCCCGACCACATCCGTGCCTTCTCGGAGGACCCCAGAGTCACTTCTCCAGGGAAGACTCTTTTGAGGATCGTCTTACTCCACGTCTACGGGATGTATTAATCTCTCTCCGCCCATACCGTAACGCGGCTAAACAGGACTTCTTTCAGCTTTGGGGAAAGACCCATGGATGCGCCTGTGAGACTGGGTGCGGTAGATCCGCCTTGGGAGGATCTCGGGGACTACGCCACCTCAAAAAGAAAGGCCGCGGCAGCCTGGGCCACCGCTCTCCCCGCCGGCAGGACTGAGCCAGACTGACACCTAGTGGCGGCATGGGCGCCCGCTGGCGTCCCGCAGCCAAGATGGCGAGGCCGAGAGGCAAGTGCTCGCCTTTGGAAGAGATCATGTGTCTGGGGCGGAGCCTGTGCCTAGGGGCGGGATGGAGCGGGGCGGCGCTCTAGGCCGAGCGGGAGGTCTTGGCTTCGGGCGCTCGCTGGTGGCGGACCCGGAGGCTGCTGCTGCGCGCTGGGGCTCTTTGGCCCGGATCGAATTCGATCCGGAGCCATGAGTGTGGACAAGGCCGAGTTATGCGGGTCTCTGCTCACCTGGGTAGGTCGGGGGGCGGGGCTGGGTCAGGTGTGCGCCCTCTCCTCTCGCCCTGTGGTGGTCTTCTTTCCTCTCTCGGGGCTGGAAGGAGGAATAGGTCGTAGGCTGGCTGGGCCGTTGGACTCTGACCTGACCACCTGCTTCTGTCACGTGGGCAGGCCTGAGAGGAAAGAACAGGTGAGGCCCCGCCCCTCTGGGGCACAGACCTGGTCACATGTTAGTCGTGGGGACCAGGTGACTCCTTGGCAACGCCCTAACCTGGGCTTGCCGAGTTTGTCCAGCTGAGTGAAATGAGCCACGCCCCCTCACTGCCCAGGTGCCCAGGTGTGTAGAAGCCACGCCCCCTAAGAATTGATCTAATGGTGCTACAGGCCCTGCCAACCCTGTGAAGTGTCTGGGGGAAAAAAGTCTTCGAAGGAAGTTGTTCCAGTTCCTGAATTTTCCTGTTGCCCCTTCTGGCCCCCTTTAGTTGCAGACGTTCCAAGTTCCGTCCCCCTGTGCCAGCCCTCAGGACCTGAGCAGCGGACTCGCCATAGCCCATGTGCTGAATCAGATGTGAGTGAGGCTGAGTGGGAGGATCCTGAAGGGCTCCCCAGCCAGCTCATACCACCTTTCTGCCCCTAGAGACCCTTCCTGGTTCAACGACGCATGGCTCCAGGGCATCACAGAGGACCCAAGTCCCAGCTGGAGGTTGAAGGTGACAGGTGGACTCATGACTAGGGAATAACTAGATGGATCTGAGAGGTGATTGTAAAGGGACAGCTAGACACATGCCCTGCGTGACGGACAGGCGGACCTGCCAGGAAGAGAGCCAGATGTCTGGTGATCAGCAAGCTATTTTTGTTCTTTATACAGAGCACCCACAGTAAGACACAAACTTGCCATCATTCCTGTGTTGCAGGCAAAGGGCATATACACAAACGTTAACTCCCAAGAAGTATAGCGGCAAGTGCTTGTAATCCCAGCTATTTGGCTATGCTGAAGCAGGAGGATGACAAATTCTCCATCAACTTAGGCAACTTATTATGATCCTGTTTCAAAACTTTAAAAAGGGATCCAGGGATGTAGCTCAGCAGTAGAGAGTGTGCTCACCCAACACAAGGTCCTGGGTTCAATTCCTGCTTAGCAGGGAGTGCCTGTGGTGGGTAGTAGCCAGACCAGGTGGCACAAATGGGATCTTAGCCCTTAGGAGGCAAGAGGATCAAGAATTCAAGGTTAACCTTGGTGGCTACACAGGGAGTTAGAAGTCATTCTGAGTCACGTGAGATGCTGTTTCAAAAACAAAAAACAAAAACAACTGGACAGAGGAATGACTTAGTGGTTAAGAATGAATGCTGAGCCTGACACAGTGGCAAGACGCCTGTCATCCCAGCACTTGGGAGGCAGAGGCAGGTGATCTCCGTGAGTTCGAGGACAGCCTGGTCTGCAAAGCGAGTCCAGCACAGCCAAGGCTACACAGAAACACTGTCTGGAAAAACCACAAAAATAAATAACATTTAAAAATGAGTTCTGCTCTTACAGAGAACCTGCGTTCAGCTTTCAGCACAGACATTAAGCAGCTCTGAGCCATCTCTTCTATAACTTCAGCTCCAGGAGCTCTGGTACTTCTGGCCTCTGCAGGCACCCATGTTCTCTCTCTCTCTCTCTCTCTCTCTCTGTCTGTTTCTCTTTCTCTACACACACACACACACACACACACACACACACACAATTAAAAAATAAAATAAATCTAAAAATACCTAATGAAACAAATTCAGATAAATCTACGAAAACAATAAAAGGAGGTCTGTGAGAGCAGCAGAGGATATGTAGGTGCTTTTTTGTTGTTTTTTGTTTTGTTTTGTCTTTTTCAAGACAGTTTTTTTCTGTGTAGCTATGGCTGTCCTGGAACTTGCTCTGTAGACCAAGCTGGCCTCAAATTCAGAGATCCACCTGCCTCTGTCTCCCAAGTGTTGGGATTAAAGGCAGATGCCACCATTCCTGGCAAGGATTCTATTTTCAGTACTGTGGATAGGCAGAGAATTGTTTTAGCAGAAGAAAGACAACCTGGCTCAGTCATTTAGAAACTGCCCCTGGCTGCCTGGGGAGGAATTCTGTGCAAGCAGCAAGAGTAAGAGATGAAGAATTGGGAATGCAGCTTGGTGAGCACCAGCTTGCCCAGAGCCCAGCAGTGAGGGGCAGGAAGTGGAATATACTGGTAAGGAGCTCGAGGAGCTGCTCGGTGGGGAGGCCCTCGTCTACCATACCGAAGGCCCTGGATTTGATCACAAGAACTCCTACCCCAACCAAAAAAAGGGGGGAGATGAGAAGCAATGGGTGCAAGTCATCCAAGCGAGCCATGAGAGCAGTAGTGCCAGGCAGGGAGGAGCATTGGATTTTGGGACTTTGAATAAGAGATGATGAGGTGGGTACTGAGTGCAGACAGTGCAGGTCAGCTCTGGAGGAGAAGGAAATTTAGAACAGGGCCAAACAACAAGGAGGAGCAAGCAGGGAATGAAAATTGAGGGGTGGGGAGGAAGTGAGGGCAGGTTTGCAAGGAGGGGTTGCTCTAGACCCCCGTGCATAGATACCTCCTTGTCCTCACTAGGTCAGGACACTGGAGAAGCTCTTACAGAGCCTGATGGAGTACTCGAAGGATGTGAGTAACTGCAAAGGGGTTTAGGGGGCTGAGTTGGGAGACAGGTTCTGTCTGTGAGCCCTCCTCACAGCAACTTCTCCCTGTGTTCTCAGGTTCTGGGGCACCCTGTGTCAGAACAGCACCTTCCGGACATCAGCCTCATCGGCGAGGTTGCAGATCCTGCAGAGCTCGGCAAACTGCTTCAGTTGGTACTGGGCTGTGCTATCAGTTGTGAGAAAAAACAGGGTATGGTATGAGGAGGGCTGGCGGGGAGGAAGCCCGAGAGCTCCCAGAGGAAACCCTGAGGAAATGCTCTTTCCTCTCCAACCCATCCCTGGTCTCAGCCTCTCCTCTCCACCTTCATCCCCAGAGTACATCCAAAGAATTATGACGCTGGAGGAGTCTGTTCAGCAGGTAGTGATGGAAGCCATCCAGGAGGTGGGTGAGGGCATCCCCTGTGCAAACCACAAGTGTCAGGGGAGGGGACATTTCTAGGGTAGAGGTAACTGGGCACAGACCTGGCCTTGCCTGGTAAGATCTGGCCTCTGCCTGGAAGTCAGCAGGTCAGATCTTTTGTATGTCAGCTCTAAGTCAGAACCCTGAAGCCACAAAAGGTTTGGCTTTTTTTTTTTTTTTTTTTTTTTTTTAGTGGGGGGGGCCTCTGGGCAGGAGTTATCTCGTTAGGGGGGGAGGGGAGGGGGCTTCGAGGCTGAATTGTAGAAGCTTTGAAGGTTGTATTAGAGAACCTAGCTCATCACAGTGTCCCCTTCCACAGCTCATGACAAAAGACACTTCTGATTCCCCGTCACCGGAGACTTATGGGAACTTTGATACACAGGTAAAGATGGCAAAACTTCGACCTCACCGTTGGTCCTCTGGTCTGCTAAGATGGCAAGGCCTGTCCTTAGTCCATGCAGCAAGGGTGAACTTTTGATCCTCCTGGCCCAGCCTCAATTGTAGCTGGGATCACAGGAGAGCACCTGATAAAGGTGCTTGTAATCCTTAAGCTTAATCAACCATCCCAATCTTCTCTGGGTCTCAGCCTCTTCCCTTGCCAGAGCTCAAGGGTTAGAAAATTACTCTTCTTCTGTTCTCTTAGGACCCCAGCCCACTCTTAGATCCTGGGGTTTCCTGACCCCTCCTCAGGATCCCCAGAAATCACAGCTTTTCTACTCCCTCCCCTCTGACTGGATCCCCAAGTCCTTTATCTCCTGCCCACCTTGTTCATCAGTCCCGCAGGTACTATTTCCTGAGTGAGGAAGTGGAGGAGGGTGACGAACTTCAGCAACGCTACCTGGATCTGGAGCGGCAGGTGGGCGGGGCTGACAGAACAGGGCCACTTGCATAAACCTACGCGCCCAGAACCTGGTTCATGCTCCAGTTCACCGGTCTTCCCTGCCCGCAGCTTGTGCTCCTTTCAGAGGAGAAGCAGAGTCTGGCACAAGAGAATGCTGCCCTACGGGAGAGGGTGGGCCGGTCGGAAGTGGAGAGCGCCCCAGGCCTCACCGCCAAGAAACTGTTGCTTCTGCAGTCCCAGCTGGAACAGCTGCAGGAGGAGAATTTTAGGTGTGGTCAGCTGGGGGCGGGGCCGGGGCACTGGGGCCAAAGGGCATCCTCCTCATGTGTCTTTCCCCTGACACCCCAGGCTGGAGAGCAGCCGGGAAGATGAGCGGCTGCGCTGCTTAGAGCTGGAGCGTGAGGTCACGGAGCTGCAGCAGCGGAACCAAGCGCTGACCAGCCTTTCCCAGGAGGCTCAAGCGCTGAAGGATGAGATGGACGAGCTGCGGTAGGTAGCAGGTCTTGAATGCCTACCACATACCTGTAGCGAATGTGGCAGTGCTATGGCAGTGCCAACTCCAGATGCTGAGTGCACTTACTCGCCATATCTCCCAGGCATCAACATGATACCCTGAGCCACGCAGTGCCACTTAGGCCCACTACAGTGTCCTGGGCTTATTCCGAGAGACCTCCTGGATGCATGGAGCTCCCCTGAGTTTACAGTGTCATGGCCAACACCTGACAGCACCCTTTGATAAATACCTCCCCTGCTATTGGATCCCATCATGCCCCGGGATTATAGGATGTCCTCTAAACTATCATCGCAGCCCCTTGTGAATCTACTGTGCCCTCTGTATCTCCAAAGGCCTCACCTGTAACCCCATACACTCTCAGAATGCTAACACACCCAGTGAACACTCTCACAGCCTCTGAATACTCCTCACAGCTGCTCCGTGACCCCAAAGTGCCCTTACCACTCCCTCTATTGACCCACCAGCTCTTTCGGCCTGTATAGTTCCACCCCTGAGAACCTTTCCTAATGAGCCCCACCAACTCTGCAGACCTAGCTAACGCCGTCACCTCGAACCCGAATCCCTCAGGCTGAAACCCTTCCCTGCCCAACATCCCAGCTGGCCTCTGAATTCTCCACTCCCCATGCCTTTCTCAGACAGTCCTCTGAACGTGCAAGGCAGCTGGAGGCCACTCTGAGCAGCTGCCGCCGCCGCCTGGGCGAGCTCCGGGAGCTCCGGCGGCAGGTGCGGCAGCTGGAGGAGCGAAATGCGGGCGACGCTGAGCGCACGAGGCAGCTGGAAGAGGAGTTGCGCAGGGCGGGATCCCTGCGTGCCCAGCTCGAGGCTCAGCGCAGGCAGGTAAGGCCGCACCACCCCTGAGCGGCCCCGCCCGTGTTACTGTATTCCTTTGTCAGCACAGCCCTGTAGCGCCTCCTCTTGTGTTCAGCAGGCGACGCTCTAGAGGCATCCCTGCCTGCCTGCTCTGTAAGCCCCACCGCCTCTCTACGCACCCCTCCTTCCAACTTCTTGGCACCACCAGGTCCCTTCTGGTTCCACCAGCGCTTTGGCTGCCTGGTTGCTGCGCCTCCCTCCATCTCTGCTGTCCTCATCTCCCCTCTTCCCCCTTTTTTCTTTTCTTTTTAAATGGATTTATGTGTATGGGTGTTTCCTCCGCCTGTGTGTCTGTCTGCATCTCATGCGTGCCTATTGCTCATGGAGGCCAGAAGAGGGCGTCAAATCCCTTGGGACTGGAATTACAGACAGCTGTGAGGGCCCATGTGGGTTCTGGGAATCGGAGCCCCTGTCCTCTGGAGGAGAGGAGCCGGTGCTCTTATTTGTTGAGCCATCTCTCCAGCCCTGTCTTAATTTCTTTCTTTTTTCTTTCCTTCCTTCCTTCCTTCCTTCCTTCCTTCCTTCCTTTCCTTCCTTCCTTCCTTCCTTCCTTCCTTCCTTCCTTCCTTCCTTC